ATTGAATAAGTTATTCAATGTTTCCGGTTTTAAATACAATGACTTGTTGAACAATTTAAGCTGTATAATGGTATCGCCATGCATCATGCGACATTCCACCGACAAATCTCGAATCCATAATGGCGAGGAATAAGATAATTCCACACATCGCTCGATGTGTGTACGTCTATGTATAATCTCCTTCCAGATTTCATTTAGTAATATCAAATGATTGCCTCGATTATCGCCAAGAACAAATTCCACGTAGAATGCAGTTCCTACAATGATTCCAATTTCTAAGTATTTATATGATGTAGTTGTTAACATGTATCTCCTCCCTAAGATACAAGCAGGTATACGTGGTTTTTCAGTAGAAACGCTGTAAAGAAAAATTTAAGAGAAGTTTTTGTTAAATATTCAAATCTCAGAAAGAGAGAGATTATATTGCATATAAATAGGGAATAATATTAACCTTTCACACTTTATTTTCTTGCATTGTGAAGCCTGTTCAATGGGCAAGTAATAATTTGCACGTTTGGTCTTAACTTCCGCACCAATGGTATACATCTCGAACTATATGTAAAAAACTACCGTCGAGTCTTGTCGTCACGTAGCAACTGATGGAATGCATGAGCTCCTCGAAAAATATATTCCCCAACAAGTTTATTTTCCCCTCCCTTTTTTATTCTTCACGGATGTCAACCTTTGCAAAGCACATACCGATAGATTTTTCTAGAAAACTTAATAATAAATCTCTAACACGGCGTCGCAGCCGATCAAGTAAGCACTCACACATTACTGAGATAGCACTAATCATCATAGCGTAGAAGACAAAAAAAATTATGTGCGGTATAAAGACACACGATATTTATATTTATTTGAAAGAATCATGTTTTAAAGGTTATTATTATTTTTTCGACACGTTGCTACATGTTGCGTACACGTTAAGCGCTGGTGGATTTGTTATCAGAGGATGTATGAATAGGTTTGTAACAAAGAAGGCTGATAAAACCTTTTTTATCGCAACTGTTGTTGAAAACTTTTTTTATCGAAACTGCTGTCGAAAACCTTCAAGCGCTGATGGATTCGTTATCAGAGGATGTAAGATATGCATAGGTTTGTTACGAAGAAGGCTGATAAAACTTTTTTATCGAAACTGCTGTCGAAAACCTTTTTTATTGAAACTGCTGTCGAAAATCTTCGCTAGCGCTTATGGAGATACTTGGATTTGTTATCAGAACACATTGTGAGCTTTTTCCCGGATGGGTAGACGATATCCTCAGAGTCTATCACCACACCTAATTTTTCACATTAAAAGAGGAAATATAAGGCAAGAACGCACTGCCAGTTTGTGCCAGTCAGTTTGTGCCAGTCAATGTCAATATATTAAAAAGCGAAAGATCATAGTAGGTTGTTCAAGCGAAGGCATTGCGCAGTGATCAGTAAAAAAAGAGTTAAATAATGAAAAAAGTTATGTGAGAAGTGTTTTAGAAGATTTTAGAAGTTTTTTAGAAGATTCTAAAAAATGGAAGTGGACAATGATGTTGATGTGGACAATGATGTTGATGTGGACAATGATGTTGAAGTGGACAATGATGTTGAAGTAGACAATGATTTTGAAGCAATAATGGATTCATCCGATTTATCCGATGATGGCAATATTCTTACAGACAATAGTGATGTTCTCAGTGACTGTAGTAATGACTTTAGGGAAAACGAGGTTAAAGCGATGTGTAATGCGGAAATCAATGCGCTGAGTGGACAAACAAAAATGTGTTGCATCTATTTTTCTACACTACAAGAAGCGGCGGTGCAGCGTTCTGTGCTTCATGTATGTTGCGACTGACAGGCTTATACACACACATTTATGCCGTTCGAAAGCATCTGATTGAAAGACACGATGCGATAAACGGAAAATTTTGTGCGAATTTCAGTGGATCACTCTTTCAAATATTTCCGTTCAATTTTTGTCCTGTATGCATACAAACTTATACACACACATGTAAAGACTCAGCTTGCTTTACTCAGCTATAAAAACCTAAAAGATAATTTTGACAGTGTTTAATGAAAAAAAAATGGAAGAACTCGTGCGAACTAAACGTGAACTGTGGGATCAATCCGCTCGATTGAGTTCGCGAGACGAATACAACGTGTGGGAGGAACGGTGTGATAAATGCCTCGAGTCGTTGGAAGGATATAGTCGAGCGAAACGACC